TTCTATATCGTCAAGTTTTAAAAAAATTTCATCGGGAACATTTGCTTCTTGTCTAAAACCATTTCTTACCACCGATAAAGCGTTTAATATCTTTGTCGGGTACATTGTTCATGTACAATTTTAGAACTATGACATAAACTATCAATTTGATAGTGACAACATTTACAAAAACTGGTTTTTATCGAACAATTATTTCGTTATATAGAAACATCAGATTCGTTATTTGGAGATAAATTTACGTGTAATTAACAATGAAGGTCATAGTTCTTAAAAATATTTCGTTAAACAGAAAATTTCGTTAAATGGAAGTTTGTTATATGGAAGTTTCACTGTATTTAGTAAATTAATTTATATGTTTTCTTTAGTATTCAGTATTGAATTTTTCTGGCAAAAATTATTATCTGGAAAGTAGATTCAAACCATTTAAATATAAAAAACTTGAGACAAGTTTTCAGAATTATCAATTGTAAGAATATCAATTGTAGTATGTATATAAATGCATGAAAACATATAAGCTACAAACTTTTTTTAAGTCATTAAAAGAAACTGCAAAATACAGTAGCTATATAATATTAAAATTATTTTTGTTTTTTGATTTTTAATTACCATAAATCATACCTGAAATCTTTTCTTTACTCATTGCATTCTCTATAATTGTTCGTCTTGAAAAATCAATAGGAACTACAGACTACAGAACAATAAACACTGATGATTTTCCACAATTTTTCTACAACATTGGATAAGTTCATGGGTATATAGGTACTTTATTAATTTTCAGAAATGTAAAAATAAAAAGTTTCTAAATTAAAGATTCTTTGATCTTTATCATAACAATAGTTAAAACTGAAAAGTTTAAAAGTACATTATTGCAATTGATACTTGTTAGGTGAATCTTGATTACAGAGTTTCATACTGTTAATATAAAAATGTTTTTACTCTATTAGTCAACTTGTCTGAGATATATTTATAATATTAGTATTTGTTTGTACCCAGTAGAGTCTAGAGTATTGTCTATGTACCCACAGACAAAAACAAAACATATAAAAAGATAAATAGTGAATATTTTTTTAAAAACAAATAGTGAATTATTTCGTCATGTGTATAACTATCTATGTCCTATGACCATTGTCACATTATATGTACTGATAAAGTTACCTGCAATTTTGTGATACGGGATGGGTACAGTTATTTAAATAAAAAGTTATACAATTATTCTGCCTGTTATCTCGGGGCCGAACTGTACTAGCCCCTTTGTGATACTACCAGTTTTGAACTTGTGAACATAGAATGATAATAAATTATCTACGCTTGTGATTGTGAACATTACCAATTGACATATTATTTTCCTGGACACTGGACAGTTGTAGGCAAATGAAGAATGAACGATGAGAAATAAATGATAATCTCTACATACCTATTGTCTTAAGTTCGAAGCACAGAATATATGAAATATATATTCTATGTCCRAAGTATTGAATTTCGATAGTCGTAATAAGCAATTGTGCAAGTGTAACTTACGAGTACTGTTTTAGAAAAATAATTCTTAAATCTATTATCTATATTAGTAAGTGCTTACATCATTGAAGTCAACAGTGCAAAACTAAGTTTAATGATATACAATATTTTTAATAGTTAAATAGTATTTATAAGTTGTAATATTCAGTATTATATTTGAAAAATTAATATTTCTAGAATTAATTTATCATGGTATGTATGCAATTGAAATATTTTTAAATATAGTATATAGTTA